AAACACAAAGCATAACTGTCATCATCACAAACACAAAGTCTAACCATCATCACATCAAATAACACACCATGAAATCACCAATCACCACCATATTCCCTGTTTTGTTGAGTGAAGGTTTGAGGGCCAGAGCACTGAATAAAATCTTCAAAAGATGGCATGGAAGTCTCAAATGGCTGAGACGACTGAGACGGCTGAGATGGTTGTGGCTGTGGCTGAGATGGTTGTGGGTGTGGTTGTGGCTGAGATGGTTGTGGTTGTGGCTGAGATGGTTGTGGTTGTGGCTTAGATGGTTGTGGTTGTGGTTGTGGCCGAGATGCCTGCCCAAAAAAAAAAGCAAACAAAAACAAAACAAAATCATGTCACAGTGTTTAAAAAACACAAATATGATTGTTGAAATAACAATATTGGAAGTTTGAAAAATTTTAAAAATTGACTGACCTGTTCACCTTCACCTTCTCTTTTGGGGCACCTTCTCTTATTGTGATTGTTTCCACCACATAAAGTGCATCTCTTGATAAGCCCCTTTCTGCTACTGTTTGTTGCCATTGGTCTCATGTCATTAGCGTCAGCTCTTCTTTTCTTTGTTGGCCTACCCCTATTTTTCACAGAATCAGGCGGTTGAATTGGACCCATTCCAGACTCCTCATAATCATTCATCCCTGAAACTGGGAAGATCATATGGCTATACATCCTGATATACATGTCCTTTTTGAAAAAATCAGACACATAATCAGATACACTGAACCTATGATAAGAGATACATGCCAGTGCATGGCAGCAGGGGTAGCCAACCACTTGAAACATACCACATGTGCACCTTCTTGCTTCCAATTGGACTATATGGCTGCTTACTCCATGAACCACCTCATACTTGTCTTCTCCAGCCCAAGTAGGGAAACAATTTCTACTGAATATCCTTTGCTCTTCAATTTTTCTCACTGTATTAGGACAAATGTCCTCTCTATATTTTTCTATTCCAGCTTTCTTCACCTGGATCCTTGCCATCAATCTTCTTCTGATCCACTCAAACATGTCCACAATAGCCATATCCCTGGCTTCCAAAATGTTGTTGTTGAAGGACTCTGAAAGATTATTAACTATCACATCACACACTGCATTAGGAGAAAAGAAACACCTTGCCCAGTGTTCTTCAGGGACAGCCTTCAACCATTCAAATGGAGTTTCCTACAGCAAAGTACAAAATCTCATTATATTAATATAAATTGAGACAATGAGATGTTATTTAAAATCTCAAAGTACAAAATACCTACAGCAAAGTATTGTTCAAAGATGAACACAAAACATTGTTCAAAGCATGAACACAAAGTAAGAAATACCTACTGTCCTTTTTAAAATAAAATACCTACACCAAATATATAGCAGGTTATTCAGAACAAAACCATAAAATGAACACACTCTTATATTCAGACCCAAAGGTATTCACATTACACAGCAGGTATGTAATGAGAAAATTACAACAGGTTTTTGTAAGGAGAAAAATACCTTGCCATCCTTCTTAGGAATAAGCTTTTGAATTTGACTCATGCACCTAAGATGCTCCTTGACATTGTATGTGTTGGCTGCCTTCCAAAACCATTTCCTCAATTCTAGATCCCCCCACTTCTGCTTAAAATTGTTGTACATGTGCTTCAAGCAATATCTGTGCTCTGCCCCCTCAATTTCACTCACAGCTTCAAGCAAACCTTTTTGTCTATCTGAAACAAAAGTCCATTTTTTCTCCTTGTAAGGGTCTATATCCCTCATTAGCCTTTCAAGGAACCACCTCCAAGAATCAGTCTTCTCAACTTCTACATATGCCATTGCAATTGGTAGCATATTGTCATTTCCATCTCTACCAACTGCTGAAAGAAGTTGACCACCATGAAGAGTCTTCAGAAAGCATCCATCAAGCCCTATAATTGGCCTACAGCCAGTTAAAAATGCCTGCCTCATTTCACTTAGGCAAACATACATCCTCATAACTTTGGAGGTGAAAAATCATTGTGCAACTTGAGGATAAGAGAGCTACCAGGATTGTACTTGGCCACTGTGGAGCAGTAGTCATATAGCCTCTTATATTGTTCTCCATAGTCAACCTTCAACAAAGAAAGAGCATACATCTTAGCCATGTATGCCTTGTGCAAACTGACCTCAACCCCACAATGCCTCTTGATTTTGTTTTTCAGACTTGCCAGACTCTCAGCAGGATTGTCCCTCAAAGTATCTAACATTCTTTTTCCAAGATACTTGTAGTCTGCCTGTGTGTTCTCTGTCCTGTAAGCACATGAGTGTGTGCCTTTCAATGTCTTGATTTAAAATATGGACAAACCTCCAATAACTGAGGCCCTCAAGAACCAGTCACACCCACTCTTACATTTTGCTGTGATAAGCTTAGCTTCATTTTTTGGGAACTTCAAATCATATCCCTTTCTAACAGACCAATCTTTAATCACCTCCTTGAATGTTGCTCTGCATTGATATTTTTGACCAACCTTCAGCTCAAACCTTGACATGTCAGTACCATTAATCCATTCATCAGGCTCTTCAAGGCACTTGTCATCATCCTCAGGATCACTGCACCAATCTTCTGCTGTAGACCTTCTTGCAGCACCAGCTTCTTGTCTTGCCTTTTTTTCTGCTTCCTTCTTTGTTTCAGCCATTCTCTTGCCCTCTTGTGTACCTTCTTAGCATGATCATGTTCTCTCTGTTGGAATATATCATCATCATCAGGGCCTTCTAAATCCTCCAATTCCCATTCAGATAAATCTGAGGAATCACCATCACCACTGTCTTCTTGAGGTTCATACTCTAAATCATCTGAATCCTCTGAATCTCCAAATTGTTGTTCTGCCACTTCATCTTCAATAGGTTGTTCTGCCTCCTCATGAAGATGGTCCTCTTCATGGCCAGCTGTTTGGGATTCTCCTTCATCATGTGAACAGGGTCTTGTACCAGCACTAGTTGTCTCATCTCTGTGGACAGCACCATCAACTGTGTCTTCACAAGCAGCAGCACCAACACCATCCACCTCACCAGCACCATCATCTCTTTGTGTAGAATCCACCTCACCAGTACCATCATTTGTTTCTGTAGGAACCACCTCTGAAGCACCATTATGTGTTTCAGCTTCTTTATTTGATTGCAAATCATCTTGGTGTGGTGATTCTTGGTGTGGTGATTCTTGGGACTCTTCAATAAATGGATATTCAATAAGGAGGGGCTCTTCTTGTGAAGACATCACATTGCCTTCTGGGTCCATTCTTTGTATAGGGCCTTGCAAATCTTCAAAGTAAAGTGGTATAACCAGCTGCCCTGTATAATGGTTCACCAACTTCAAAATATCTTTGTCAGAATCAATCTTCAGCAACTTCTTTGCTGTTTGAAGAGTCTTTCCAGGCTTGTGTGAAAAAATATCAACTGCAGATGCTTTGCCACCTGCTCTCCTATAGACATCCATGATTTCAAAAATGGATAACCTATCAACATCGTACCAGTCAACTGCAACTCTTTGGCCACCAAAGTATCCCCTAAAAGGCAACCATACTATCTCTCCCCCAACTCTAACATCAAATACAACAGCCATTTTCTACAAACAAACAATATAATTCAGAACACAATAACACAATTCAGAATCACAATTTAGAACACAACATATGATTCAGAGCACAATTCAGAGCAATAATAACCCTATTTCCCAACTCGAATAATAACCCTATTCAGAAGCACAAAAATTACATAAAATCCCTAATTCCCAAATATAATAGCATAAAACAAAAAAAGCCCTGATTTCAAAATATGAAAACCCTAAATTCTAAATCCGAAGCACAATATTACATAAAAGCCCTAATTTCAAAATCAAAGCCCTATAAATAATTAAGCCTGATTACAAAATCAAAAGGCCCTAAGTTTCAAACCCTAATTTCAAAATCAGAAGCACAAACAAATAACCCTAATCTTAAAATCGAAAAGCCCTAGTTTTCCAAATAGATAAACAACCAATATCATTTCAGAAACACAATTAAATAAGACAGACGTTCAAAATCAGAAAGCCCTAGTTTCATAAATCATAATCCCTAATTTAAGTAATCAGATAAAACTGAAGCACGAAGCACGAAAACTGAAAACTGAAAACTGAAGCTATCGTATTTCGCCCAATTTCATCTCAGAAGCACAAAGTCACGAGAACTGAAAACCCTAAATTTCAAAATTCATTATATAAATTGACTATAACATAACGAATTAATCGACTATAACTATATACCAGATTCAAATAATACCTTATATGTCTTCAAGATGAAATTCGCCGCAAGTTAGAACCCTAAATTGTCGAATTTCAGAGATGGAATTGGGTGCAACTCCTCAAACGATCTGAATTTAGAGTGACGGGCTTCAATTTTCATATGAATTTAGGGTGTGGGGCTTCAATTTTTCAAAGGAAAAGTGACGATCGAGAAGAGAGAGAGAGAGAGAGAGAGAGAGAGAGAGAGAGAGAGAAATTATGTTTCTGGTTCAAAAATATAAAAGAGGGCATAACGGGAAGTTCACAAAAACATTAACGGGGTTAACACTCAAACGTAACTTGAGGAGCGTCAGCATGCAAAACCTTAATAGAAGGGGGTCCGACGCAATTTTTATATTAGAGGGGGGAAAGACGCAGATTTAGTATAATACAAGGGGGTTTGGTGCATTAAACCTGTAAAAAAAACCTACTCTCTCCGCCGAAAGAAGAAAAAACAACAGTAAATTTTAGATCTATTGTGTTTCGCCTCCCCTTCTTCCTCATCCTTTCTCCGAGTGGCCCAATCTCGCCCACCCCCCTATGCATTTTTCGCAGGCCATGGACGGCGTTAGGCGGGTCTGTTGGGATCTGTGAGGATCTCGTTATGTACAAATCACGAATTCAATAGCAAACGTAAACCTATGCGCAGCGGATCTAAAGGTTTGACGTAGAGAACTTACGGCTTAAAATTTATGTAGATCTGGTTGACCACGAATGGTTGACCGCAATTGATTGACCGCAACACGCGTCTTGGGTTGCACGAACAAGATCAGATCAAAACTGGATCAAACGGATGCAAACAGATCAAAACGAAATTTTGCTGCCAGACACCTTCCGGCGGCGCGTGAGGGCGCGTGCAGCGTCGGATTCCGGCGACGTCGGCGGCGATGGAAAGCTCTCGTCGAGACGGTCGTCTGGGTATACTGTACGTCTTAATCGGAATTCCGGTTAGTTCTGTAGGTCAAAATCTATTTCGTCTCGGTTTACCTACAGATCTTCTACTGTATTACTCAATACACCCTTCTTCAACTTGTACCAGTGGAGCAACAAGAAGAAGATAAAGCTCGAATGAGATCTAGAGAGAGAGAGATGGTTTCACGTGAGAATGAGACTTCTGTTCTCTTCTCATGAGCTTAATGATGTATATATAGAGCTACAGTAGGGACCCTAAGGAGATTAGGAAAAGGGCTCCTTAATTAATTAGACTAACTGTGGGCCAAACCCACTCCTCTAATTAATTAAATAATATTAATGGGCCACCAACATTATATTATTGCACTCCCTTTCCCTAGCCCAAATTACATTTGAGACTCCAATAATAATTACTCGATTTACCTCCCCACGTTTAAGATATAATGTCCATTAATTAATTCGATTACTGACAATCAAGAATTAATTAATTTATTATTATTTCACCGAAGCTAGCGCTCGTTCATCACATTCTTATTATGCCGGAATTTAATCCACCTGCAGGGTTTAGCATAACAATCCTTCATGAACTCACTCCGGGGACATCATCAAACTAACGCACATGGTGACCGTAAATATCCTAACAGCACATCCTATATATAATAATATTACCCAAAACAGTAGGAATATTAATCCAGCGAACTGAACCTCACCCATGTGAATCAAAGTAATATATATTATATATATCTGCCTGTTTAATATCTTACGGGTTAAGAGAACGCAGTAATTAACCGAGGCCTAGTTCATTTACGACGATCAGTATAAAATGAACTTCTCCTCTCTGGGATCCTGTTCAATACATAAATGTACTAGTGCAACTAATCAGTCAAGACAAACTGTACAGTTGACACTACAACCGTTCGGATGGGGTGTTCATGTCCATCTAGGTTGTGAACAACTATTCTTGTTCGCAAGTGACTGACAGAGTGATCTTCGGTTCGCCCGATGACGACCCACCCTATCTAAGTGCAGAACAACAGAACGTAGAACTTGTTTAATCTAACATGATTCTCATTCATAAAGGGTAAATGTGTAATAACATGCAAAGCCAAGCTTTCAGTATATAACACTAACAATCTCCCACTTATACTTAAAGCTTTCGCTTTTACAGTATAGTCCTATCAATCCGTTATTCTAAAAGACCTATGTCGATCCTATCGCCATGCATCCTCTGATGCAATCTTGGCAACATCAACGTCTCCTCTACCAACGATATCCCGAATCAGATGGTATTTGCGCTCTATGTGTTTGCTTGCCCTGTGGGCTCGAGGTTCTTTTGAGTTCGCTACTGCTCCACTGTTATCACAGTACACGGTGATACCACGTGGCAAACTCGGTATAACCTCTAAGTCCACTAAGAAGTTCCTGAGCCAAACTGCCTCTTTCGCTGCCTCTGAGGCTGCTATGTACTCGGCTTCCATGGTGGAGTCTGCCACGCATTTCTGCTTAGCACTCCTCCATGAAATGGCTCCACTTCCCAAGGTAAACACATAACCTGAGGTTGACTTACTTTCATCCCTATCTGACTGGAAATCAGAATCACTGTAACCCAGAGGTAACAAGCTGTCTGCACGGTAAACTAACATGTACTCCTTAGTCCTTCTCAGGTACTTGAGTATATGCTTCACCGCAGACCAATGTTCCCGTCCTGGATTACTTTGATATCTAGCTACCATGCCAACGGCGTAGCTAATATCCGGCCTTGTGCATAGCATTGCATACATGAGACTTCCTACTGCCGAAGCATAAGGAACTGTCTTCATCTCCTCTATCTCCTTAGACGTCTTAGGAGACATCTCCTTAGATAAAGGTATTCCATGTCTAAAAGGTAACATACCTTTCTTGGAATCCTGCATGCTAAATCTGGCCAAGACAGTATCTATGTATGAAGACTGGGATAAGCACAACATTCTCTTCTTACGATCTCTAATGAGCCTAATACCAAGAATGTGTCCTGCTTCACCTAAGTCCTTCATATCAAACTGCTTAGACAACCACACCTTTACGTCTGATAACTCCTTCTTACTGTTTCCAATAAGCAGTATGTCATCTACGTAAAGCACAAGAAACACCACCACGCTCCCACTGATTTTCTTGTAAACACAATGCTCATCCGGACATTGAGTGAACCCGTACGACTGGATCACCTCATCAAAACGGATGTTCCAAGATCTCGAAGCTTGCTTCAGTCCATAAATAGACCGATTAAGCTTACACACTAGATGCTCACGACCTTCAGCAATGAATCCCTCTGGTTGCTGCATATAGATGTCTTCTTGCAGGTTCCCATTAAGGAAAGCTGTCTTGACATCCATCTGCCAGACCTCATAGTCCATATGAGCGGCTACAGCCAAGAGAATCCGAATGGACTTAAGCATAGCTACTGGCGAAAAGGTCTCATCATAATCAATACCCTCGATCTGGGTATAACCTTTCGCAACAAGCCTAGCTTTAAAGGTTTGCACCTTCCCATCCAATCCTCTCTTTCTCTTATAGATCCACTTACATCCAATGGGTCGTACCCCATCGGGTAGTTCTACAAGATCCCAGACCTGATTGGAGTCCATTGACCCCATTTCAGCTTTCATTGCAACATTCCATGAATCTGCATCTTTATCTTGGAGTGCCTCATCGTAAGTTCTTGGGTCCGATTCTAGGCCTCCTGGAACTGAGTCTGACGACTCTCCAAGACCTATCCATCGGTCGGGTAAATGAGAAACCCTCCCACTGCGACGAGGCACTGTCTGCACTGGTACACTCTCAGTGTGTCGTGTTGCAGTATTATGTGATGTATCTACTTGCGCACTCGGTGGGGAACCATCGATTTCACCCCTTAACTCCTCTAAGACTAGTCTACTCGCGGGCTTATGATTCATAATATAGTCTTCTTCCAAGAATCTAGCGTTCGTCGAAACGATCACCTTCTGATCCTCGGGACTATAAAATAATCCACCTTTCGTTCCCTTGGGATAGCCTACGAAAACTCGTGCTTCCGAACGTTTCTCCAACTTGCCAGGTTCCTGCACTAACACGTGTGCAGGACTACCCCAAACTCGAAACTGTGAGAAACTGGGCTTGCGCCCTTTCCACATCTCATAAGGGGTAGTGTCAACTGACTTCGACGGAACCATGTTCAGAATATACGATGCCGTTTCCAATGCCAAACCCCAGAACGAATCTGGTAACCTCGAATAACTCATCATAGACCTAACCATCTCCATAAGAGTCCTATTTCTTCGCTCTGCAACCCCATTCTGCTGGGGCGTGCCGGGTGCAGTCAGTTGGGATTCAATCCCAGCTTCCGATAAGTATGTCCTGAACTCTCCAAAAAGGTATTCGCCACCTCGATCAGAACGAAGTGACTTGATACATTTACCATGAAGCTTCTCCACAACTGCCCGATACTCCTTGAATTTCTCAAAGCATTCGGACTTGCGGTGCAACAGATAAACGTACCCAAATCTCGAGTAATCATCTATGAAAGACACATAGTACTCGAAACCTCCTCTAGCCTGGATCGACATAGGACCACACAAATCAGAATGAATCAATCCTAGCACTTCTTGGCTCCTATACCCCTTTGCCGTAAACGGCCTCTTGGCCATCTTACCTTCCAGGCATGATTCGCAAGTTGGATAGTGCTCTTCCAATGGACCGAGATGTCCACTGGCCACTAACTTTTGAATCCTCCTAAGGTTGATGTGTCCAAGTCTAAGGTGCCACAGATATGCTTGATTCATCTGCGAAGACTCCTTCCTCTTATTAGATGTAGTTATGACATTATTCAATTCATTATGTTGCACTGTGGGAGAGTTCGGTTTGAGAACATATAAATTGCCAACTAATGAACCACAACATATGAAACGATTTTCAAAACGAATAATAACCATGTCATCAAACGAAACTGAAAAACCATCCATAACGAGTTTAGAAACTGAAACAAGGTTCTTTCTAAAACTAGGAACATAAAGGCAATTTCTCAAAACCAAACTACTACTATCGAACGATAAAGTAACGTCTCCCACTGCAACAGCCGCCACTTTCGTAGCATTGCCCATGTAGACGGTGATCTCTCCCTCCCTAAGTCGCTTGGTTTCCTGGAACCCCTGCAAAGAATTGCAGACATGATCAGTGGCTCCAGTATCTACACACCAGGTTCTGGTAGATACAACCGCTAAACATGTTTCTACGACATTAACGAGAGAGTTACCTTTCTTGAGGAGAGGGCAATCGACCTTCCAGTGTCCTGACTTATTGCACTTGTGGCATCTTCCTTTCGGTTTCTTTGCCACAGCCTGAGGGGTCGGTCGTGGGTAAACCGGAGCATCCTGTGCCTTCGCCTTTCCTGCAGACTTCTTTCTCTTCCTGCCCTTGTGAGGCCTGGAAGGTCCAGCCTGCTCGGCGACTAGCACCTGAGGTGCTTGAGTGAATAAGGCCTCCGCCGACTGAAGCTCTGCAAGCAGTTCTGGAAGAGCCATATGCATCTTGTGCATGTTGTAGTTCAACCGGAACTGATCAAAGCTCTTCGGCAGAGATTGGAGCATAATATCAACCTGGGTTTCCCCGTCAATATAACCTCCCATAACCTCAAGCTCATTGAGCTGCGCCATAACCCTGAGAGCGTGCTCCCTTACGGGTGTGCCCTCGGCCATGCGCGTACTCATCAGAGCACTCAAAGCCTCTTGCCTAGCAGCCCTAGACTGATGTCCGAACAGATCCCTGAGATTGAGAAGTATATCTGCTGCAGTGTCCTTAGACTGATGCTGATGTTGAAGAACATTCGACATAGAAGCCAGAATGTAACACTTCGCCATCTCATCAGCCTTCTTCCACCGAGCATACTCCTCTTTCTCCTGCTCAGGAGCATCAGCCGCCGGCACCGCCGGGCAAGCATCAGTGATAGCAAACTTATAACCCTCAGCAGTCAACACTATGTCTAAGTTCCTCTTCCAATCAATGTAATTAGGACCAGTAAGCTGATTTTCTTTTAGAATGACAGACAACGGATTGAACGACATGATGAATATCCTGAGAATCATGCAAATAAATTTTACAGATTAAACACTTTTGAATTTAACTGTCAATATTGAGATCCTCAAAACAATATTAACTTAAATTCACCGACATCTATTACACCTCGTGAGAATGTATGCTACGTGGGTCGCCCTACAAACTCGCATTTTGTAAGAGAAGGACTTTTCAAGGGCCCATTAATTTCCATAAGTCAAAACCACATTCATGACTAACGAAATTAATAGTCGGTCTCCATTTGGCCATGCAATAAATCCAGGGACCCCGTGGGGAGTTTATAGATAAGTCGCATTCTAAGTGAATCCCATTTCTCGATTCTGAGGTTGTCAAAATTGATTACACGTCCCCCGTGGGGAGGCCCGTGCGTTCTCTTAAGATTCCCTCTAACCGTCTAATTTTAGAAATTTGTCCTGGTAATTTCCTACAACCAATTTTAGCAATGTCACCCGTGGGGGAGCCCATTGCCGCAATTAATTGATTTACCGACAAATTAGAAATGGAGGCCTTAGGAATTTTACAATTAACTTTAATTTAAAATCCCTTCTCAAACTTAGTATAATTTAATGAGGATTTTTAACTATTTATACAATTCCAAATTAATCTATGTTAATGCAATAATTAATTAACATGCATATTAATTCATGCAATTCTAAATTAATCTATGTCAATGCAATAATTAATTAACATGTTCAATAATTTATGCAATTCTAAATTAATCCATGCCAGAACATAATTAATTACATGCATAATTTATTGACACAATTCTAAATTAATCCTATGCATCACATAATTAATTAACATGCATAATTAATCTTGCAATACTAAATTAATCCCATGCAAGAACATAATTAATTAACATGCATAAATAATAATTTAATGGCATAATAAATTTAATTAAATAAATAAATAAATCCACTATTATGGCCATTAAATATTGAGTCTCCTTAAACAAGGAAACTGTGACAGTTCTTTTCCCTGTTCAACTGGAACTCCTTTAAGCAGTAGAATCCTGGTTGATCTTGTACTGCTTGGACAACAAGGCAAAAACACCAGCTACCAGCCGCCACCTGCCGCCGCCACCAGCCACCGCCGGTTCGCCGGCCGCCGCCACCAGTTCGCCGGAAAAACGCCGATTTTTTTTTTTTTTAATTCTTCGAGGCTCGTTGATCTCTTGTGATCTCCCGGTTATCAACACACGATCACAACACGAAAAATATAATTTACAAAATTACATAATTCGATCCTAGATCCAACGAATGGATGTACATGTTTTCTAAACAAATAATTAAATCTATCCGGTCAACCCCCGGGCGAATAATTATTACAAACATTCATCCATAAATTCCTCGACATGCCCGAGGCTTTAAAAACAAATTTAAAACCATACATCACATTCAACAACATTCATCAAACACATAATCGGCCATAATAGTGGATTAACTATTTTCCTGCAAAACCGAGTTATGCAAATATAATCCAATATATGGCTGCGTTTGAACACATCTTGTCAAATAAAGCCGTAAAAATTCGAACTTTGTACAAAACGAATTAACCAAGTGCTCTGATACCACTTGTTGGGATCTGTGAGGATCTCGTTATGTACAAATCACGAATTCAATAGCAAACGTAAACCTATGCGCAGCGGATCTAAAGGTTTGACGTAGAGAACTTACGGCTTAAAATTTATGTAGATCTGGTTGACCACGAACGGTTGACCGCAATTGATTGACCGCAACACGCGTCTTGGGTTGCACGAACAAGATCAGATCAAAACTGGATCAAACGGATGCAAACAGATCAAAACGAAATTTTGCTGCCAGACACCTTCCGGCGGCGCGTGAGGGCGCGTGCGGCGTCGGATTCCGGCGACGTCGGCGGCGATGGAAAGCTCTCGTCGAGACGGTCGTCTGGGTATACTGTACGTCTCAATCGGACTTCCGGTTAGTTCTGTAGGTCAAAATCAATTTCGTCTCGGTTTACCTACAGATCTTCTACTGTATTACTCAATACACCCTTCTTCAACTTGTACCAGTGGAGCAACAAGAAGAAGATAAAGCTCGAATGAGATCTAGAGAGAGAGATGGTTTCACGTGAGAATGAGACTTCTATTCTCTTCTCATGAGCTTAATGATGTATATATAGAGCTACAGTAGGGACCCTAAGGAGATTAGGAAAAGGGCTCCTTAATTAATTAGACTAACTGTGGGCCAAACCCACTCCTCTAATTAATTAAATAATATTAATGGGCCACCAACATTATATTATTGCACTCCCTTTCCCTAGCCCAAATTACATTTGAGACTCCAATAATAATTACTCGATTTACCTCCCCACGTTTAAGATATAATGTCCATTAATTAATTCGATTACTGACAATCAAGAATTAATTAATTTATTATTATTTCACCGAAGCTAGCGCTCGTTCATCACATTCTTATTATGCCGGAATTTAATCCACCTGCAGGGTTTAGCATAACAATCCTTCATGAACTCACTCCGGGGACATCATCAAACTAACGCACATGGTGACCGTAAATATCCTAACAGCACATCCTATATATAATAATATTACCCAAAACAGTAGGAATATTAATCCAGCGAACTGAACCTCACCCATGTGAATCAAAGTAATATATATTATATATATCTGCCTGTTTAATATCTTACGGGTTAAGAGAACGCAGTAATTAACCGAGGCCTAGTTCATTTACGACGATCAGTATAAAATGAACTTCTCCTCTCTGGGATCCTGTTCAATACATAAATGTACTAGTGCAACTAATCAGTCAAGACAAACTGTACAGTTGACACTACAACCGTTCGGATGGGGTGTTCATGTCCATCTAGGTTGTGAACAACTATTCTTGTTCGCAAGTGACTGATAGAGTGATCTTCAGTTCGCCCGATGACGACCCACCCTATCTAAGTGCAGAACAACAGAACGTAGAACTTGTTTAATCTAACATGATTCTCATTCATAAAGGGTAAATGTGTAATAACATGCAAAGCCAAGCTTTCAGTATATAACACTAACAGGGTCGTCTTCCGTGTAGTTTCAGGGGCAGTCGATTCTCCTCCGTGTTGTTTTAGGGGTGACCAGACGTGGGTTTCGGCCGTCGTGTATGATGCCAAGGCCGACATCTTTGTTCCCCCCCTTCGAGTTTTTTCGTCTCTGGAGACGACCCCTTGTCGCGTAGCGGCCGGTTTTTCTAGTGTTTAGGGTGGGTGACTGGTTCTTTTTATGTTTGGGGTGGGTTGTTTATGGGTTGCGGCCGTTGAGTGTTGAGTGAAGTAATCGTGTGTAGGGCTGCAAATGAGTCGAGCATTGTCCTTATCAAGTAGGATTGATTTTTTTTTTTTTAGCTGCTCGAGCTCGATTTATGAGACTCGAGCTCGACTTGATATAAAAGTACAATCGCTGGAGTTCGGCTCGAAAATTTTTAAGTTGAAAAATAAAATTACCATTAAGCATCTATGTTATATTATTGTAATATATAAAGGGTATTTTAGTGATTCAACATATATCTCGAGCCGCTTGACAATGCAAAATATTGGATCGAGCTCGACTCGAATTTGGTCAAGTGACTCGAGCGCGCGTGAGCCGCTCGTGAGCCGCTCGGTCCGTTTGCAGCCCTAATCATGTGCGTTGAAGACTTAATCAGGGCCGAGGGTCTCAGGTCTGGCTAGCCATAGCCGATTTGAAGTGTAGAATTTCTGGACTGGTATTTTTTACTGTGATCGAGTTCTTCTCTGTGGATTATCTTCGACTTATTCCCTTGGGTGGTCGTAGTGTAGGTGTTGTTACGTGGTGGTCAGGGAGGGCTTTATTGTATTATCTAGGTGTGTGTTGTAGTTATTTATTTTGTTCTTTTTTTCTATTTTTAGTTTTTCAACCCTAGTCCAGTTACGTCTGATTCTAGTCTTTTTTATGGAGTTGTCTAGTCTCTTTTTTGGAGTTCAATCGTACCCCTTTGGTCGTCTATGTAATTCCCAAGGGAGTGGATCTAGTTTTTGTACTGATTCTAGTAGCGTCCATTGACACATCAGTGTACTCTTTATGAGTTTTTTTCAGTGTTAATATAATTATCGTCTAAAAAAAAAAAAAATTAACATTAATCCGCTAATAAATAAATGAGTCATAGAACAACACAAGCAAGAAAATATGAGTCTCCCACTTTTCACCTTTGTACGATTTACCCCACAAATCATGACTACGCAATTATCGTTTACCCAATTTGCCCTCTATCTTAAAAACATATTTTTTTTCAAACGATAATATAATAAAACTGAAAAATTCAAAATGAGTACACCGAGGTGTCAACAGACATCACCATAACCAGTACAAATATTGGAACCACCCCCTTGAAATTACACATGACCAATGGGGTACAAAAGAACTGCAAAAATGAGACTAGACAACTCCATGAAGGAGACTAAAACAATACACATTGTAGTTAGTTTTACTGGAGTCAATTCGAAAGAATGAATTCCTAGGTCGTATCGCAAGGAAGGCCAAGTGAATTATTTCGCACGATTATTGAAGCACAATGAAAGAAAATAAATCATAAACACTCTAATCAAATTGATTGGGTTTTGTTTAGCAGGTAATGATTCCAAACAAAGTAAAACTCAAATATCAACCTTCGAACAAGTTACATATATCAATAAAGAAGCTAGAGAGTCAGGGATAATCGTTCCTAATTCAAAATGTAAATATCAAACAATTTATCATTTGGTTAATTGATTCTATACCTACACGTCTAGAAATTCAACCTCAATAACTTTTCGTAACAAGAGGATAAACATTGACGACAAATCAATCAAATCAAATGACACATAGGCAATACAGTTACGAACAAGTCTACTCAATACGAGCCTAGGTCGAACAACTTCTCCCTTTTTGGTTCTAAAAGTTATTTGATTGGATTAGAAGGTGATCAATCATCTAACCCAAGGTATAACACAACTCGCATAGAATGAATGATTCACAAAGTACTATAAACACGAGATCAGGACAATCATCCCCTACCCTTAGCAAAAGAATTTTACATATCAAAATTAATCGCAACTATGGAATCAACAAAACAAATCACATCCAAAATATGAATGGAAAGGAAAGCTTACAATAAATCCAATGTCGGGAGACAATCTCAAATTACAAGCCAAAATCTTCACCCGATGCTTGGAGTGTCACTCTCCAAGATTGAACACAAAGGTAAACCTAAGTTCAAAAGAGAGAAAACTCAAAAACACCAAGTTTGGAATGTGTTTCAAACCCTCGGCACGAGTCCCAACAAAAGGGGATTAAAAAACGAGTCAAAATTTTGTCCAAATTCAAATTTTAAAAATCAGTGTCGCAAGCACGACAAGTCCAGGTAGATGGGCGAGTCGTTAGGCGCACGGCGCGACATCGTGGGGCACGACGCTTGTCGCGAGCGCGATGTTGCCGCAGAAGAGACGATGAATCAAGCTACGAAAACGCGCGATGGGTTGTCGTGTGCGTGGTGCCCCACTCGACGGCCTGCCTCGACTCAATTTTCGGTGTCTCGTCTTGGTTTTTTATGTTTCAGCCTGGTTTTTGGGTTCTGCCTGAATTGGACTGGTTCTGCACGTTTGGGCCCAACGAGGCTGCGGTGGTTTGAGTGTGCCGAAGTTTGAGTTTTCCGACGGATTTGGGATTGTAGATGAAGGAGACCCATTTAGATTCAGTGCAGAAAAGACCAAATCGTATATCCTGCAACCCTCTGCTTTTGATTCCTCTTCAGAACTAAAGCCTTTCATCTTTAATCCAAACAAACCAAGCCATGCTCAGCACATTCTGAACCACCCTTCGTTTTTGTTACCTCTTCACCATGAACAAGTTGCGTTTGGGCCGCCTCAGGCCGCTGAAAGACTAAGCGGGCGATTGTTTGTACAGTAAAAAAACCAATCAAAACTCAACTTTAACCCAACTTGATCACTATCTCTCATATTATCAATAAAATTAAATAATATCAACCAATCATTCTTACACATCACATCAACTTTAATTCACTATTCATCCACTCACATAATTATAACTAACTATCACTTCCAATCATTTTTCTCATACTTTACCTCAAATCAACTTGTAATTATTTTTTTTAAATATTATTCTAATACATCCACTAACAACTAACCATATCATTTTTTTCAAAATTACCTATAATTAAAAAGCTAATCAAATAAAAACTAATTGAATCCATAAACAATCACCCCCAAAATCTTGGAGGCTTAGGGCCCAATTGGGCTTCGACTGATGTGAAATGACGGGTTTGCCCTTTGCTGGCCATGTTGTCAATGCCCTCAAATCTTGCTCGAACTTGCTTGAGTCTGTAGATGTCGTGGGTCTAGATTTGGTAGCCGTGCGAGGATTGAGAGATTCTTGATCTGGCCAGCAATCGAGAAAATTGTGGTGGGCTGTTATTGGAGGCCCGGTAAATCAGGGCACTGGAGGGATCTGTTTGCATCTTTGGGCGTTTCGCAAGTGGGCTTCAGCGACATTGTCGGGCCCATTGGGGATTGCGTTGTGAGGAGGCCCAGCATTCGAGGTTTCATGTGGAGACTAGGCGGGCCCAACTTGCTCGTGCTTTGCTAGCAGCGGAAGGAGCTCGGTTTCGGTATAGAGATGCTGAACAATTTTTTTGCTCTCTTCCTTAAATAGCATAGTTTGGATTTTATGAATTGATGTCGTGCTCGAGCAAGGTTTATTTTCATTTTGCTAATTTTCGTATTATGGGTTGATGAATCTGTTGTGCTTTTTATGTTAGTAGTGTTGTTTTATATTTTGTGATGTTGAATTACGCAGCGACTTCATCGCTCTTACATGACGGTCGGAGAAAATGGGAAACTTGTGTTCGGGACGAAATATTAGTATTTTGTGCAAGGAATAACTACAAAAGCTACATAGGATTGTTGGCCTAGTTACAGAGAATTACAGTTTGATCTTGTTTGAGTTTTGATTTCTCATTTACAGACTGCATCATATTGGTGTTCTTTAAAGAGGGTATTTCTGATTGTGAAAACTAATCGATATTTTCTGTATCGAGGCCAAGCATCATGGATGGTTTTCGTAACTGAAATACTAAACACAGCACCCAAATTACTGTTACCGCACCCTAAAAATACAAATGTACCCTTACTAATATAAAAAAAAAAAAAAAACGAAAAATCC